AGTGGTGCTGTGGCTCAAGTGGTAGAGCACTAGCCTTGAGCTGAAGAGCTGAGGGACAGCACCCAGGCCCAGAGTTCAGGCCCCATGACCGGACCCAAAAAGAAAAAAGAAAAGCCTTCCTCCTTGGAGGTTTGCAACCGACTAATTTGGTGTTTTACAGGCCAACTAATAAAGGTCGGGGGTTGGGCTGCCCATTGGAGGCTTGGTGGTTGAGGCTGCTCCTAGTTCTGGGTATATAGTCCAGGACAAAGTAGTCGCAGGACCCCTCTCTGGTGTAAATAGTGTAAATAAACTTCTTTAAAAAAAAAAAAAACAAGAAAAGAAAAAGAAGAAGAAATGAATCTAAGCCACGCCCATGGGCAGATGACAAGGTGCACTAGAAGGATCAATAACACGACCAATTGTAACCAGTCGGTGACAAGCAGTGGGAACAGTCCAGCCTCGCAGACAGTCTCCTTCCCAGAGTTTATCTGACAGCATTATGCCGCTGCTCAAAATGCTTCCCAAAGGGATGTGGGTTTATTTTTTCCTCTAGAGTTCTAAAAATATTCTGCGGGTTTCATCTCTGTGTGCATTGTGCTATTGTTACGAGCAGCATAGATTAATCTATTGTAAAAATGTTCCTCTGTCAGGCAGGAGTGGAGATGGGCAGTAATGCTTTGACAACTCCTTGGGGTTAAGCTGAATGGAAGAGATCCTTTCTTGGGTCTTAGAGCACAGCCTGTTGCTGGTGGGAGCTTTTGTGTCACTGTCACCTGTGCTGCCACACTGTCTCTGCACTGAAGGTGGCCCCTGCAGCACTAACTGCTATCGCTGTCTGGGACCTGGTGACCTCCTGACCCCACCGTTGGATTGAAGACAACTACAAGGGTTCCTTGGGGACAGATCTCCATCAGGCATCTACAGAACCCAAAGACATTGAGCAAATGACCTACTGCCAGCAAAATCACCATGCCTGGATAGCATGGCAGACAGAGAGTAGCTCTGCTTCTCTTAGCCTATCTCCTATGGTAGTCAGGCAATGGAATCAAAGCAGCTACCATCCAGATGCTCTGGTCCTTCTATCCCAACAAGTTTATCTATCTTGAGGCAGCAAAACATGATGGCCAAGGTAAATGCAACCTACGTTTTTGTGGTTCCTTGAGAAAGGACAGAGCTCTTAAGACTAAATCAAGCTTCTTTGTATCAGCTTACCAAAAGAAATAACCAAGCTATCCATAAAGCTCCCCATCTCTGAGAATAACAATGACCCCCATCTTCAGTGGTAATGGGTCCAGCCTGGCCAGTGGGACCACTTGAGGCCCAAAACAAGCCAAGGAGGAGCTTCCCTGTGGTCTTCAAGGTGCAATGTCTTGCCAATCACAGACTCTTCCAGAAATAAGCAACCTCCCCTGCAGCTTGAACCTTTGCATAAAACTCTAGTTTATCATGGGTGTTATGGACTGAAACTATGACCGTCTATGGAATGCGCCTGAAGAGTGTGTTTGGGAACGTAGGGAGACATTTCATAGTGTTGTATCTGGGGCAATTCTCTGGCTCAAGACTGCAGGCCTTGAAATCCAGGCTGTGTGTCTTTTTAGTTCTATTACCTGGTCAAGCTTACTTAACTTTTTGCCCCTTACTCTCTTCCTCTGTGAAAATGGAATTAACTACAAGGTCTGTCCAGAGCCACCTTAGGAGAATTAGATACATGCATGCATGTAAGCTGCCTAGGAAAGTATTTGCTGGGTAGGAAGGGCTGATGGTACAATGTTTCCTGATTCCCTGTCTGGGCTTCACTTTGAAGCCTGTTGCCTTTTCAGAAACAGGTTACCAAACTACCTCTGCCTATGAAATTTTCACAGCTCTCTGCTGCCCCCTGCTGACATACCATTGATACTATCAGCATAACTATCAGCTACAGTTACCACTACCCACTCAACATTGAATAATATACCCTAATCTATAACCAAGCTGACATACATATTGTCCCTCTAAAATCCCATGCTTTCTGGGTCACTAATCTACTAAACATATCCTTCCTCTCCTCACGTCCCCCTACCCAAGCCAGGCCCATCTGAAATGCAAGGCATTTGCCTGGCCTCACTGTGCTCCTCCAAAACTCTAACCCTCCCAGAGCACATTGCTCATTCTATCACGTCTATTCTTCTCTTTGTGGTAGTACGTTGTGAACTCATCTCTGCCTTTAGATCAGAACTCTGCCTTCCCAGCAGCACAGGAATGACCACACACTAATTCCCTGTTCAATCAAAGGCCTCCTGTCCAGTACTTGCAGAGTCAGTGATGGATGATTCATCAGCCCCAGCCCATCACCTCCCACCTTCCTGCAGTCACCTGGGCTCCTAGCTCAAGCCTCACTTCCTGAGGAAATCTTCCTAGATGATCTGGGTTTTCTCATAGCAACGTCTATGTATCATTCTAACACCAACATGCACCATACCTTTCCATTTCCATTTTTACTTGTGTGTTTAATACTGGCCATCCCTACAGGACTACAAGGCTTTACGATGGCCGTGGTGCCTGCCTTTCTTTACCATCCTGTTCCCGGACACCAGGGTAGTGCCACATACACATGAAGTTACACAATGAACTATTTGATGAGTCAAAAACTAAGGAAGCCAGAATAAACAGAATCTGAGTCAAGATGTTAAGAGATATGTATTCAATGTATTCATTCTAATACCTTACATTTGCTCCATTTCAACCTTTCACATTTAAGACACTAAATTATAGCTAAGTAGGGATATAGATTACATAGATGGATAGATCGATGTTTAGACACAGACAGACAGACAGACAGACATAGACAAAGAATAACAGTTTCCTAGAATGTGGTCATAGTCTTCCTCTGATCTTTACCTTCAGTGCTCATGTCTGCTGTGGGCATCCAGACATAGGCCAAGCCTTCCTCCTTATACAGCTTCATCATAGTGTCTGGACTCATGGGTTCTGGGTAGCGATTACAGCCGGAGGAGTTCTGCACGATATCCCATTCCGTCTGGAAATTCATGACAGCTGTAATCCCCAGTTCATGCTTCAGTTTGATGGTAACATGCTCCACTTGGCGAGGACAGCTTCCCAGCCAGATATTTGGCACAATTCTAACAAGAATACATGGGCCAACTATTAGCATTGTGGCTGTAACATGATGGCCAAGAAGTATTAAATTATAATTTGCCTTTTGGTCTGGCAGAGAAAAACCTGCATTTTATAGGGCCGTGAAGGACAGTGTTATTCTTATTGAAAGAAAAGGTATGTGGATGCTGCTTTTTTGAGGAAAACAAAGAATTCACTTAGGTAGGATGTCGGACATGGGTACCAGCAAACCTCATCAGATGGCCCCAGTGCCCTTTGCCCTTCCCACCTCAGGCCGCCCTCCACCCGGTATGCTGCAGGGAGCAAGATGTCTGATGTCACTTCTCAACAGTAAGTAAACTTGTACAAATTTGTTCCAAAGAGAATAATCTGACACCTTTAAAAGTGCCTTTTTGTTCATCTTATCTTACCTCTAATCATCTTTTAATGTGAGTGACAGTTTAAGCAATTTTTAGTATCAGAATTTTTAAGGTAGGAAAAAAAGCTTGTTTAAGTAGGCTGCTTAGAGAATAAAAATTGTATTTAGGTACTTTTTATGTAAGACATACCAAAACACAAAGACATAAGAAAGGAATAAATGTTATGGCGATCTTGCAATTGAATTGTAAAAGACATTATAACTCACCAGAGAACCATTTTGTGAATAATTTACCACAGATTATGATTGACATGGAGAATGTCTGGTTTCTCTAGTAGAGATCATTTAGAAAGGTCAAAGAGAAGTCACTACCAAATGGGCAGTGACAATCTACCCAGAGGAGGATTAAAAGCAGAGCTTAAAAATATATTTTAATTATCCCTAAGTAGTTCTACAAAGGATTTGCAATTCCACATGTCAGTCTCTGAGTACAATGGCTATGGATTAATGTCACCCCTTTCGTGATTCTTCCCAGTCCCTGCCAACCCTATCCACCCCTCAATTTATCTAGCTCCATTTGCAAATATACACAACGAATAGTATGACATTTGCCCACCCTTTCTAGCTTGCATTCGTGTCGCATGAGGTACATTATAAAAACAGCTATTACCAGAATCTTTCTGAGACATATTCCTAACATGGGTCTTGAATAAGGACTGTGATTTCATGGATCATTGGTCTTTCTTGTTTCTCTAAGAAATTTGCCAGATTATTTATTCAGTCATATTTCAGACTCACAGCTTGGTAGTCTCTTTAAGCATGCAAGAAAATCTTCATAAATAGATCCTGATACCTTTCAAAAGCAGTCTGTTTGGAAAGAAGAGAACATGGAATTTCTCAGTGACACCACATGCACACATAAATTGAAGTCCTATCTTTCTCCACAAATAATTTCAAGACTGTAAATGACTCCTAGACAGAAAGTAAGAAATATGACAGCATTTTGAGAGACTGTCTGTCCATGTGTTTAATGCACAGGGTCAGGCACCACACTGTAATGCTGAGCTACTCAGGAGGCTGAGATCTGAGGATCACAGTTTGAAGCCAGGATGGGCAGGAAAGTCTGTGAGACTCTTATCTCCAATAAACTCTACTAGAAAAAGCTGAAGTGGTGCTGTGGCTCAAGTGGTAGAGCACTAGCCTTGAGCAAAAGAAGCTCAGGGACAGAGTTCAGGCCCTGAGTTCAAACCGCAGGACTGGCAAAACAAAAACAAAATCTAAACATTAAAAAAAAACACCTAAACATACTTGAGTCATGACAAGTATTTATTGTGGTTATATGCAAAAAAAGAATAATTTGTAGGAAAAAATTGTATGCTTGAATTTTTTAACTATTTCTGCTGAGATTAACCAAACTACATTTAAATAAAATCCATCCTAGTCATGTTACAAGTTAACTGAACACAAGGGGAAAGAAACGAATGGCTGCCAAGTTTGGAGTCTGCCTTCTCAGACTACATCTCAAAGTCCATGTAATCCATTTGAGGGAGTGTGGGCCTGCACAGGGAGTCACGCCATTTGTTTAACCTTGGGGACTGGGAGCCTGTCCTACAGCAGCTACTGAAGTGAAAGGCATGAGCCACTGGCTCACATGAGCGGTCAGGCGGAGGAGGCTCCCTGGCAATAATGAGGACACCAGGTAGAGTGAGAACCCACGTGCTGGAAAAAATCACCACAGGGAACTGATGGGAAGAACTGGCACAGAAGAGACAAGAGACACCAGGAGGCACATCCACTCCGTGGGCTCAACAGCAGAGATCCCATCACTAATGGCCATGAGAAATTGCAGAATAACCTTTACCGAAAGGTAAGAATTAGCATTATATTATGTCCACAGGAGAAATAAAAAGAGTAGTGAGAAACCCCAGATAATGGTGGAACAGATGTATGAACATTGGCTTTTATTTATGCAGTGCCCTCCTCCTTGGCAAACCAGCACTACACCATTCTAAAAGCAACAAACAACAACAAAAACAAACATGAGGCTCTTTCAAAACCCAGCGAAGAACTTATGGGGAAAACACAATGTAGTATTTTGTCAGTTAGGTAATTGTGCTACATTTAAATTATTTACTATTTTGACTGTGGCTCAAGTGGTAGAGCGCTAGCCTTGAGCTAAAGAGCTCAGGGACAGCGCCCAGGCCCAGAGTTCAGGCCCCACGACTGGACCAAAAAAAAAATTATTTATTATTTTGGGGGCAATTCAATGTGAAATTAAAATGTGGCCTGGCTATTAAATAATAAGTAAAAAAAAAAAAAAGTCTATCAGTCCTGTACTTTGGATCTCATTAGTGACAAAGCAAGAGAAACATAAAAAAAAAATCAACATATCATAAGCTTTAACTTTCATGAGTGCATATAGCCCCTTCTGCTCAAAGTTTGTCCTCTAGTATTCAGTATTAAATTATTAATGACAAATGTCTACTCCAAAAGGGCGCTTATAACAGGGGAAGCTAGTTCAGGCTGAATAACTGCTCCAAGACAAATTCCAGCTTAGAAAGTCATACCAATTAGCTCCTTTTTTAAAAACATCATTTTATTAGCATTTCACGTGGATCACACAGTATAGCGTAAATAGAGTGCATAGAGATTGCGTTAAATGACAATACTAGGGTTTTTTTTTTCACTATGTTACATAGCCGATAGCCAGATGAAGCAAACAATTTTGATCTAATGTCCTTTTTATTTTCTATCTTATCAAATTCCATATGATTAAATCAATCACAAAAATATAATGAGATGATGTCCCCCAAAGTTTATTTGATGAAGTCTTTACACCATCTTCTCGGAGAGTGACCTTGTGTGGAGGCAGGGTCTCTGCATTAGTAACTAAGTTAATCTGAGATCCTCCATCCAACTCAATGCAGGCCATGTTCTTGCAGGGCAACAGCTGGAAATAGGCACTGAGGGAAGACGATGTAAAGACACAGAAAGAACATGGTCACTGCTGCAAACAGGCCGAGGAGGCAGCCTGCAACAGATCTTTCTCTTGTCCCCTGCCCCATTATGAAAACTTTTAGGCACACAGAAATGTGAAGCCGCACATCTCTCTCACGAGACCACTTATATGACGGGCCTTTGTTACAGCAGCCATAGTAGACTAACAAATGCCTGAACCTTCTGGTTTAAAATATATCATCCATCCCATCATCCAGATTCTTCTTTGTATATCGAGCTACAGGTGTATTTTCACAGGCATTTTTCACTAGTCAGCGTGATTTTGACAAACACTCCTACTATTTGTGTATAGCACTCCAATGACACCCTGGGACACAGTACACACCCACCAGCCCGCTCCATCATCCTGCATCCTCTCCCCTGAACTCCTTCCACGTGGCAGGGAACACCACCACATCCTTGGCTAAACCCTTCCCTTCAGCTTTCTGGCAACACTTCAGTTCTGAAGTAACTCGTTTTGATCCATGCAGTACAGTGTTGACCTCCTCCACAGGGCCTTCAAAAACCAGACTCCAATGGAAAGTCACCTAAAATGTATCAGAGTACAGTCTCTAAAAGTCATAGCTAGGCTCATGCTTTTTTTGCCTTTTCTTTTTTCCTTTTTTGGTGCTGGAAGCACCTTATTTATATGCCTACTATTCTATCATGAACACACTTTCAATCCTTTAGCTTTTAGGTTACTTTTGAGAGGTCTCACTAACTTTTGCCTGGGCTAGCCTTGGACCACAATCTTTATACCTCCTCCTCTCAAGTTGCTGGGACCACTGGTGTGCACTATGGTGCCCAGCATTATAACTTCTTAAGGCTCTTGAGTCAAAGACAGTTTGGCCTTCTCGCTCTGAAGCATTTGTTTCCCTGGAATTTTATGATATGCCATATTACAAAGTATAGGGGTAAAATCACTCACACAGTTCACTTCTTAAAAGTCAACCACAAGATTACACAAAGACTGAGATACATAGCTTTGTGGCTTCAGTTGGTTCCCTTGACATGAATTGAAACAAAATGTTCCTCTAAAATAGCCTCGTGGTGTGTTCATTTTGTTTCCAGGACTGAGCCTCCTTTGAAGGAGTAAAATGTCATCTTTGGAATTTTTCCACATAATGAACTTGAAAGGATTTATTTAAAATTAATCACTTGGCATAATAAATGGGGAACAACAGAAGATCAAAGAAGTAATAAAAATTAAACATGGGTAACTGTATTTGTTTTAAGATCATTCGGCCTGTTCAACAAATATGTAATGATGCCTGTTTGTCTGGTTTGGGGGGTTTTTTTGGCCACGCACTCAAAGCACACTTTTATTTGGGTCTGCAGAGTCTGAGGGCAGGCAATAAATTTCAATTTGCCCAATTTATAAAGGACAAACTCAGGGATTCAAATAGACAGTCCTGGGCGAGCTGGACTTCAGATTAGACAGGAGAGGCTTTTCTGAAGCAGTGGTACTACACCTGAGATCTGACATACAAAAATGGGTGACTGGGTCAAGGGATATCATCCTCACAAACTGACACGTTCAGTTAAAAATCCCTGTGTACAACTACTTAATGACAATATAAATAAATCAAATAAATTTAATTGCATTTTAAAACAGAAAAAAAAAGAAAAATGAAAAGAAAATTCAGCCCA